AGGGGGGGGAGGGTATCGCAAGAAGAGCTGCCCCGCGGGATTTTTTTCTTAAAGGAGCCGACCGTGAAGCAAAAGGAGGTGGTGTGGGCGAAGTCTTGTGAGGCGCGGCCGTTGGGCCGTTAGTGTGGGAGCAAAGCCCTCAGCCCCTGAGACGCCATGGGTGGTGGTGAGGGCAGGTGCTCCTCGGCCCAGCGCTCTCGTTTTAACTAACATTTCATGGGCAACAGGTAGAGGTGCTGCTGTGCAGGGCACTTGGAGGTGCTTAGTCTGAGGGCAGCCATGGCTCTGTGGGTGCCGGCGAGGAGAGTCCCCTGCAAAATCCAGTGTGGGATCAGGGATGATGAATGTCTGGGCTATGTGCTGCTATGCCATGGTACAGCCACAGAAATAAATATGTTTCTGTACAAAAATGCATAGAGGTGAAATCTGCTGTGCATAATGCTGTTGTGCAAATTTACAAGTGAAAAATATACCATCACAGGTGAACTTAGCCCAGCAGGGTGTAATTACTCAAGCTGGAATTTAATCAGGCTGCTTTCAACTGTTGCTACAGTTTCCATATATCTTCAAGGCTGTCAGCTCTCTTAAAAATTGTTTTAAACATACTGAAGTCTGCAGATTTTTTCTTTTCCTGAAAAGCTAAATTTTCTTGCTGAAGCTGATGACAGCACTTCTTTTATTATCAGCAGAACTGGCTGAGTTGGACTGCTTTTTTACAAACTGATCTCAACCCTTCAAATCAGCAAAAAGTCAAGCAAGTAGGACATCTCCTTTCAACAGAGATTTAAATTCAGAGTAAGTTGTGTTTTGCACATGTATTTTACTCCAGAACTGGGTGATGGCTTGCTTCTACATAGTGCCTCAAATTTGAAACTAACAAGGAAAACAGAAATAAACATTTACCATCTTACAGCTTCCTGAGCCATTTTAAAATAGAGAACACTGAACATTTTTTCCCAGTTGCTTGTACCAATTTCAGAGCACCTAACACCAACTTTCAAACTAGATAAGCCAATAACTGATTTTTGTCTCTTTCTTCCTAAATTGAATTATAAATTTACTGTGAGGTAGTCTAAACAATTTATTTTTTTGATTTTTCTGTAGGCTAAAAATATCTCTATACCAAATAGACCGTTTTTGAAATGTCAGTAATAAACACTCAGAAGCAGAACAGTAGTTACCAGCTTACGGATATGCTAGAGCTGGTGCTACTGGTTCATAATGTTCGGTGAAGCAGTATAGGCTGATAGAAAGGCATAAAGGGAGACAGCTGATAAAATATTTAGTTCTGTTAGTTCTTTCTTTCTTGTCCCTATGTCTTTAAAGTATTCTATAAAGGAATATAGTGACAAGACCTGTCATATGACACAAACCAGGTCAGTGGCAGAGCCAGGAACAGGACACAGTCTTCAGAAATCCAGGCTGCACTGAATTCCTTAATTCAATAGCAAACCCACCACTTTCAAAGGAGGAACGGTTCATGTCAGGTCTCTTAATTTTCACTGTAGCGCTCTGACCAGACAGCAGTGTTTCCTTTCACATCACTGGGGGGGTTAGTCGCTTGTGTTAGACTCCTTGCTCATGGCATAATGTGTTAGAAGGTCTAAGAATGAAGGAATCTGAGTGTAATGTGAGATAAAGTACACCCAAATTTTTTTTTTCATAAAATGCTAAACATAAAAGTGGAAACAAATTGGTACAGCTTCCACAAAAGTTAATCAATAAATAAATATGGAATGGCATGGAATTTCTCCACCCTTAAAAAATAATTCTAAACAAAAAACCCTTCTAAGTCTCAGAACTATATTCCAGATAGTGAAAGTCATGCAAATACTATATGTAGTCTCCAAAAGAAGCTAACTAAAGAAGTTATTTAATAAATTATTTTGAACATTTTAAGGCAAGTTAATTTAACAGGGAAACTGTTCCCTTATTTAAACAAGACTGTGAATTACTTAATATAATCTACAAATCTTGTTACTGTGTCATAAGTTGGTTATTGGCTAATTTTATCCTTACTGGTTTAAGTTGCTGAAAAGAGAGTAGTGTCCTGTGCAGTATTAAGAGAACCTAATATCTGCAAGAAAATTGTAATCAGCTTTAGACACAATCCTATGTCACTCTACTTGTATCATCTTGTACTCCAAGAACATAGTCAAATGAATGCCTGAAAACTGTTGAGTTTGCAGAGACTTTTTTCTCTCAAAAATAGTTAGCATGCTCCAAAAAAGATTAGCATTGTATTTGATTACGTGTTCAAACATCAAGCCCCAAAGCAAGGATGGGGTCTTGTGATAAATGCCCACTTTAATGTTAAATATTTTCCTTTTAATTTATTGGGTAATGCACCAGTGTTCTCAGTAAGGTGTCAGATTACTCACCTATTTTTATTTTTCTTGCTTCTAGACTCTAGTCTGTATTCCAGCCTGAAATACAAGACAACAGCTAGCTTTTGACAAATGCCATAAAAGCAGCCCTTGAGACCAAGCGAGAGGTAATTATTTGGCATCTTGATGTATACTAAATATCCTGTAACTGAATTTCTTCCCACTGCAGCCTTTATCTGTAGCAAAATCCATAACAAAAAAGGGATCTAAAGTTATTCTCTAAGAAGAAATTGTAATAGTAAGCAAGCAGGGAGAATAGTTGATGGAATGTGTAACTGTGGTACTCAGAGAGCAGTCTTACAATTTGTATTATAAAGAGGAAAGATGAGTAAGTTATGGTAAATTTTATAACATACGTGCAACAAGATATAGCTTTTGGGGGCAAGACTTAAGTGATAGAGGACCAGTTTCCACAACTGTCCCATGTCTGTCCATTATCAGAAGAGCTTAACTGGATGCAGTAACACCTCATAAATTATAAACTCAATAATTAACAACCATCTTATTCTTATCAAAAAAATTCAACCCCCACCAAGACATCTAGCCAGCTTGCCTCATATGTCAGTAGCAATTTAATAGAATGTTACAGGAAAGGCCTAAGTTCCCACATCCTTATTATTTTGACAAATACATTAATGTACTTTTAATAGTGCAATATTAACTAGGTTCACTAATGAAAATGATCCATTTTTAAAGCAACTTAGATTACTTTTTTTGATGCAGAATACATCAGTTTGTGATGAATCTTTGTCATTGTTACTGATAATCTGATAATTTCAATTGCTTTCATGACATTTTGGGGAAGGATTAAGCACTAGAGAAAAAAGCCTGGACCCTTGGTGCATCTGCAATAGAATTGGGTGAAGATAGATAGCCAGATTGGCTCATCAAAGTTCTACACCCTTGTGCATATAATATTTTCAGAAACAAGGTAAGGCAGTAGAGATTCTAATATATGGGTCTATGTGCTGTTTCCTACCTGCCTGCTCTGAGAGTAATGAAGACTTCTGCAGCCAGAAGCAACGTTAAGTTGCTTCTGTAAGTTGTCTTTGCTGTTAGCCAGAATTTGGTTCTAACTGAAATAAAAGATGGATTATGTTTGATTAACCAATTCTATTAGACTAATGGGAGAGTAGCTGGCATCAAAGCACTAATACAGTTTCTGGAACAATAAACTATGTGAACATCAGGCATCACATATATTGATTGGGGGAGGTTGTTTAAAAATTGAATGTAATATAGTACCAATAAATTATATTGTTTTAAAAATATATATGCAATCATGTGCTTTACTGCATTCATTCAAAAGGAATGTGACGAGAACCATACTCTCCTAAAACCAAAGCTGCAAACAGGATGACATTTCCGATTTAAAAAACTTGGCAAAATAAACACAATGTAATTCCATCATGACCTCAGATACTTAATACACCTCAGTCCTCAGAGCATCTTAGAAAAATCAGCAAGAGTATAGGCTGTTCTTCTAAGGCAGACTTTTACACTGGATTGTACTTGAAGATAAATGTGTGTTTATACCACAAGGTGTTTATTTAACTGATATTATGTTGCATTTGATTCTTATGGAGATATGTGTTTAATAAAGACTCTTTCCTGCAGAATACAGCTGTTATTTTACTGTCACAAATATAGTGTTATGACTTCACCAATAGAATGAAATAAGAAATAGATTAAATTCTTACTTAAACACTTTAATTTTTCTAATAAGCAAACAGGGAATAAAATTCTGCCTACACTCTAAGGATCCCATTCTGCTTTTAAGTCAGTGGTAAGACCTCAGTGGATTAGCTGGAAGCAGAATTGTACTTCAAAATCCCACTGAAGTCACTAGAATGAGTCTCCATTACAGTTAGGTACATTCTTGTAATGCTGTCCTTCAAGAAGGATAGGAAAGGGAGGAAGGCACTGTTAACAGGAACAGTTGGTTAGCTTTATGCCAACAGAGAGTTTTCCTCTGCCATTACAGTTCTTCCGGCAAATTACAAGCAGCCTCTCTATCTTATGTCACTTGGAAAAAAAAAGCCCTGCAGTACCCTTATAGGACCTGGCCCATAATGATAATGTTTTCAGAGGCCAGTGAATTGATTTACTTCTGTCATGTATCTTTAAAAGTTTTTTAAAAATAAAAGTCCTTCTTTCAGGAATTATTTATAGCTCAAGTTAGAAGTGATTTGCTAGGCTGTCTAAAATATCTCTCACCATGTTTCTATAAAGATTTGTAAAAGGATTTCATTTTGAAAAACTATTGCCATTGCTGAAAAGTTCAAATATTTATCCAAACTGCATATGAAAATTTGAACTCTACTCATATTTGACTTAGTTTAGATTTCATAAGAGGAGTGTTAGACTCAGATAAAAGCCAAAATGAATAGGATAATGGGGATAAGCACTTTTTAAAGATGTGCTATATCCCTGAAAGTATTTCAGATGTTATGTTGTGGCCTTCCTGTTCACTCTGCTTCGATAGAGAGGGGAGATAAATTAACTGATGTGCATCTAAAAGGGGCAGC